CTGCACCAGGATATGGGAAAGTCCTGCTGGTGCTGCAAGAAGATATCAGAAATACCATGAATGCCAGCCTTTCCCAACTGGGGTCCTGTCTTCACCAGATAGCAGGTATGAACTGGTGATGGTTGAGGGGAAGCCTTACCAGGACCACTTTTCTTCTCTCTCCCCAAAAAGCTGCCCATCATTGTCCAGACAAGATGAGCCTCACATTGCAGCCTCGCCATTGCTGCTGAGTGCCCTCTTCCCAAGTCAGAGCTGACTCATGGGAGCAGGATTTGGAGAGCTCCTGTCACTTGGGGAGGTGGGGCTGCCAGGCAACATAGCCACCATTGATGCCCCCTAATTCCTTGTGTACCTGTGTATACCTCCTCTGCACGCACACCCTCTTTCTAAAACAACATGGCACAAAAACACAGTGAGGGAAGGCTACTGCATTAATCCACAGGAAATTAAGAGGTTTAGTTAGGAAGACGTAATTGAAGCAACTGAACAGACCTCCTCTGCTCTTCTTAATTGCATTTATTTTACTGTGTGCCCAAATAAGTATGCCAGATATGGCATGGGTATCATTGTTTTGGCAGAGAGAGAATTGGAGGAGGAGGAAAAAAAGGTCAAGTTACATACAGCTCCCCAACCCACCCTAAACCTTTGCTTTCCATCATTTTCGGGTGATAAGTCTAAGGCAATGAAAGACTGAGTGTCTGCAGGTTACTGTGGATCACAAGTTAATGCCAAAAATGCCAAGCAACTCTCAACAATCAAAAAAAGTGGATTAAAAAAATTAAAAAATCATACTTCATGCTAGAAAATACTGGCCATGTAAATGAAGAGTTTTTCTGAAAGGTAATATAGCAAGAGTCCCTCCAGAAATATTCTTGGCTATTTGTCAGGCATGAATGGGATGAAATGAAATGCACAGATGAGGAAAAAAGAGACACTTAAGCTTTGGGAAATTAACAGAAAGAACGCAAAACATAGATTTAATGGTATCAATGAGTACAAAAGTTCAGGAGCAAAAACTTTACGCTTTTCACAGCCAGCTTCCTGCAGCTCCATAAAGGCCAGGGCTCTCGCTTGGAGCTGGAATGGGTATAAACAGGCTCCTGGTCAAGCTCTCAGCGACAGCAGCAGTGAACTTGGCAAGCCTGCACCTGCTAGCAATTCCCACATGCAAAGGAGAGGAGAAATGGCCTCTCTCCTCGCCAGCTTCTCCCCTGGTTTTGGAGCTGAGCTTCTGCCTCCTCAGGAGGCTGAAAGCCACAGAAAGCTCTCCTGTGCCCTAATCATCAACCATGCTCAAAGCCCTCCACATCAGCTTCTTCAGTCCATATCCCTCCATCACATCCCAAACCCCTTACAAGTCCACCAGACCAAGACAACACACTGTACGTCACAGAGAGCAAGGAGCTACAAAATTCAGTACTTCCATCTTAGCTCTGGCTGGAGAACAAGATTATTATAAAGTCAATTATTCTTACTGGTGAATATTTGAGTACAATGTCTGGTATTTCTTAATGCAAAAAAATTAATGAGAAAGTTCTCCTTTATTATGATTAAGCCCATAAGCTGTAATGTACTTATGATAAACCAACATTATTAAAGGGAAAAAATGCAAGCCTTTGTTATAGATATATTGTCACTTTAGTCACAAAATATGTATTGTGCATTCATATAACCACAGACTAGCTGAAGCTGGTGAGCACCTCTGGAGATTGCCTAATCCAACCCCTCTGCTCAAGCAGCACCACCTAAAACAGGTTGCTCAGGACCATCTCCACTTGGTTTTTGAATATCTCCAAGGACGGAGACTCCATAGCCTGCATGGGCAACCTGTGCCTGTGTTTGACCACTCTCATACTAAAAATGTGAGGGTTTTTTTCCTATGTTTAAATGTAATTTCCTGTACTCACTTTGTGACCATTGCCTCTTGTCCTGGCACTGGATACCACTGAGCAGAGTCTGCCTCTGTCTTCTTCACTCCTCCCATCAGATATTGATACCCATTGATAAGATTCCCTTGAGCCACATCTTGTCTAGGCTGAGCAGTCACAGTTTTCTCAGCCTTTCATCACAGGAGAGATGCTCCAGTCCCTTCTTCATCTTTGTATTCCTTTGCTGGACTCTTTCCAGTAAGTTCATGTCTCCCTTGAACTGGGGTGCCCAGAACTGGGCCCAGCACTCACAGTGGCCTCACAGTGCTGCGTAGAGGGAAAGAATCATCTCCTTTGATCTGTTGGCAACAATGCCTAATGTGCCTGAGCACAGCTCTGGCCTTCTGTTCTGCCAGGGCACACTGTTGACTCTTGTTCTCCTTGTTGTCCATCAGGACACTCAGATAATTACAAACCCTGTATTGCAGCAATTAAGCTACCAAAACCATATGTTACTGTGGTGTAGTAGAGGGAAGAGATCAGGAAGATTTCAAATGTTATGCACTGGATTGTGGAAAAATTATCAGAATCCTGAACTGCAGCCTCAAAGAGGCAAATTTTGCTTCTGTGCAAGTGTAGGCTTGGCTGCCCCATGCCAGGTAGCAACATCTCTCAGAAACACCTCCTTCAAGCTGCTGAGGCTCCCACTTTGGCAATCCCTCCATGCCTTTGAAATGTGACGACTAGCAACCACCTCCAAGGCGTTTTGTCACCCACCTTGGTGACAAAGAG